TAAGTGTTTAATTGAATGCAATCCATCTCAACCTTAATGCCATCACATTTCAAACTATAACTTCAAATTGCAGATATTTTTTGATGAATATTTTATATATGATTTTTATCATGATTTTTGTAAATTTAAATATAAACTTATATTTTTCAAAAATTAAAGAAAGCGCTCTTTCAGCTTCTCAAAGAATTCATTTATGCTTTTTTGAAATAATGTTTCAACACTTAATACAAGTAACAAAAAATTCAATTAAAATGTTTTTTGAATAAAAAATAGATTTTGATTGATTAGCCATAAGAATATTTTATCAGATTTTTTCCAAACATACACTAAAAAGTTGTAATAAAATAAATTGTTTTTTATTTTGCTATAAGATGTGATTGAATAATACATTTGATTGTCATGAGAGAGAGGCGTCGAGTACTAAATTATAATACAATACAACAAATGCTATATTTAAATGTAATACAGTATATAATAATATAATCTAGTTTTTTTAATACATTTCAATACAACGCTATAATACCTGAAGGGTTGATGAATTTGAGGCAAATTTCTTGAGTTTCAATTGTTGTCAACAGTTTTTGGGTTCAATTAATTTCATTAATATTGTTTAAATCTATATTATAGTGAATTGTGTTATTAAAATATATATTCCTTATCTTTTAAACAATTTATTTATTCAACAATTCATTTCATTGCCGTAGAAATTAAGTTTATAGACCACTGACTGCTCTGTGAATGTAATTAAAAAACAATCCATTTTAAAATTTTGAATTTAATTTTGATGATTAATAAAAAGTGCAAAAAACAAAATACAATGAATATATAAATTGTATTATAAAGACACAAATATTATGACCCCTTTCTCAACAAATTTCATACAAATCACTCGTTAAAGAGGAAAATAAATATGTCTTTATATCGCAAACAAACTCAACATTTTAAGCCAAAAATTTCTTTAAACAATTACTCTGTAATTAAAATAGTTTATAATTAATTTAGAAATATAATGCCTTTTCGCAGTTTTAGTGAAATTCTCACCAATTGTTGGCATAATTTTATTAATTTCTTGGAGTTATTTGTTTAAAACTATAATTAATTTTAATAATTATTTAACGCAACAATTTTTAAAAGATTTCGAGAGTTTGTGAGTATTTGTATTAAATGTTGAAAAATTGTGTTGTAAAGGGTGTGTCCGACAAATTTGTTATCGAGTGTTAACTTTTAATTAATGATATTTTAATTTAAATAAATTACATTATCTTATTATTAATTTATATAAATACTATGTTTAACAGAATATACAATACTAAATAATCAAGAGATGTCATAGTATTGCATGCAATCCCTATGTATTCAATATCTTTATTGGAAATATAAAATATTAATATTATTTTATTTACAACTTAAACTTATTTTGCATATTTAATAATAATATATATTCATAATGACTAAATTGCATAATTTCTACCATAATGTAGTAATTTTCATATTTAAGAATAATAAAATTATAAACACATATAAGTTATAAAGCAATATAAAGAGTACTTTATTTTTGTTTTTATTACATTCATAAAATTATTTAACATATAGTGTTCTAATAATGAATGCATAAATGTAATAATTTATAGCGTGTTATTAGAAATGAAAATTAATTTAAATGCAAAAAACAAAACTAAAATGGTAAACAAAATAAAACATTTACACAACTTTAAAATGATTAAATGCACAAAAGATTTTGCAATTAATTTGATTTTATTATTATTATTATTGTAGACTAAATCGTTAAGCATATCGTTATATAAGAGTCTACCTGTAATTCAATGCCTTTGCTTCACGACAATTGAATGTAAAGCAAACTTCGAGAGCAGACCATAGGGTCGATGTGTGTATGCGATGTCGACCCACCGCGAAGTCAACCCAAACCGAGTGTGAAACTACACTTAAAACCAGGCATTTCCTAAAACATTAGCTCATTTTCTTTCATTCACTCATAAAAAAGTGTTTCTCAAGAAATTGAGAATTTTTTTGAGCTTAAAATTAAATGATTGGCAGAGAAATTGAAGTTTTGGATTGCGGTCTCAAATGGTACGGATGATCAGTAGTCAAGTATTTGTTGTATAGTTTTTGAGACCACAAAACTATTTGATAAGTTATATAAGAGGAGTGCAATTGTTGTTGAATAAGTAGATTGAGATTGTGGTCAAAATAGTGGTAGTCTATGAGAACCTGTAATTTTCAATACAATTTTTTTGTTGGCAAACGTATCACTTCTGTAGCGATGCGTTGCAAAAGACATATAAGATGTGAAATGTAATGCAGAGGACGTCTCATCAAAAGAGGTCGTCATCGATGGGACAGCCTTTTGAGGCACACATACATGAATGCATCGCTGCTTATAATAGCGTAACAATAAAATAAAATAAATGATAAAATTGAAGTCTAGGAGCGAAGGATGTGATCGTATATACAGTCCTGTATTTCATTGAGTATTAAAATAATAATATGAAGGCATTGTGTGATCGCAAAAAGGCGTTCATTTGCTTTTATTCGTCTTCTAATACGATTTGAAGCATTTTTATTATAAATAGAGGACTCCATAAGAATATGTTTTATTAGATTTTCAGTTACGACCGTTTGATTGACACCAAAACAAACTTAATTCACTCTATTTTCTACTTTCCACTATTATTTGTCGCCCATTTCCCCAATGTCTTTATGATATTCACTCTCTATTATGCATACATGACATCGACTTTATTCATAAATCAATTTTTAGGCATTTTATATTATTATAATTTCATAAATTCAATATAAGTTGTTTTATTTGAAAATTTTGATCATTATTTTGTATAATGCTGTTTTCCCAATTCGTTGAGTATTTATTTTTAAAAATTCAATTATTTTATTGTCAATTAATTATTTTTACAACTATATACAGGATATAACATATTATTTTATTTTCTTATATTTTCTCTCTCTTTAATTTAAACTCAATAAAAAGTTTTATGCAGTATATTTAGATTTACTTATAAATAAATATACAGTACAGTACCATACATATATATATATTGAAATATTTATTCAATCACTAATTTAATTACTATTTTAACTATGGTTTGTTGAATTCACAAACATTGTAAAAATATTTGTCTACACGAGAAATCTAGCAATTTTTATTACAATCTAGCCTATAATACCTGTCATTCAATTCAACCTATTTTATCCCTCTTATAGTTTGTAATTTTAATGTCTGCCTATGTTTAGCCTATTTTCATTAGATTACTATATATTCCTAAAAGCAGATATTCAGTAAACAAGTTAAGCAAAAATTTCTATAAGTGATATTTAATATCAATTAAAATAATATAAAAACAATTAGTTTAATGTGAGGAAAAGCCAATAAATGAATTTCAATACTTTAATACATATAAATTAAAATATTTTATTCAAATAATTGTCTAAACTATATCTCAATTATAGTAATCGCTTAAAACGATTTCAGCAAATATATTATAAGCAATTCATAGCCGATAAGTATTTGTAAAATTGTTTCTGTAATTGAGAACCAAAATAGAAAAGTCTTTAACGACTATTTATAACATAATTTTGGAGCCGAAAGATTGTTGCGGAAAGAGAGAGAAGGAGAGAGACTTTGAGAGTTAGGAATATGTGAAATGTGATCACTTAGTTAGCGATGAGTCTGTTTTGGGAGTGAAAAACAAACTGTTTGTCCAAAAAGATAATGAGCTCTTAATGAGTTTGTCGCGAAGGAGAGAGACTTTGAGAGTTAGGAATATGTGAAATGTGATCACTTAGTTAGCGATGAGTCTGTTTTGGGAGTGAAAAACAAACTGTTTGTCCAAAAAGATAATGAGCTCTTAATGAGTTTGTCGCGGAAATGCAGTGACAGCTCTTAAACATCCACTTCTATACACATTATTCCACATAATTCTCTCCACAAATTCAAAATTCTTGTGTCAAACACTAAAATTCTTGAGTTTATAAATTGCCAGATAATGAATACAAAACATTCTTTATAATAAGTTATTTGCAAAATAATATCAATAATATTTTCGTGACAATTAGATATTCTCGTAAATTAAATTGTTTTTTCCATTTTTATCGGCACAACGAAACAAAAGCACACATTTTTAATAAGAAATTAAACATCGATTCGTTTGAATTAATTATTTTAATTAATTTATTTGTGTTTTACATGAGTTGTATATATTTATATCGTACTAATGATCTAATATAATACTACTATATAGTATGTATATATAGTTTTTATATATATTTATATTATAACTTAAGTATAATAAGAAATGAGAGGAACAAAAATGAGAATCTTTTGTTTTGTGAGTACTTTTCATGCAAATTATTATCGACTAAACGATTACTAAACAAAACTTATTAGCGAAATATTACAGAGTATTTATCAATGAATTATTGGCCAACAATAACATTGTATTTGATGTAATAAATTATGATTGTATGGTATCCTATATATTGAGTCAATTTATTTAGTACTCGTCGTTTGTTTGTCGCAATAAAAACACTTGTTTTTTGGCAGAAACTAAAGCCATTGATTAAAGAGAAAACTCTTCTTTATATAACATTTAACTAATTCTGTATTTTTGTGACATTTTCTTTAACATGTATTCTGTGTAAAATGTTTGCATTGAAATAAACAAAACTAATTAAAAAGTCTAATCATTACAGTTATAATTACGGGTCCATTATTTGAAAGCTTTTTGGTTTGTCGCCAAAATTGTTAGTCAATAGCCAGTAATCAGAAGTAACAGCTCTCATGAATTGACAGTGAAATTAATATATAATAAATAATAAATATTTTTGAATTCATGATAATTATACAGCACTTAAAGAGTTAACACCATTTAAATTATAGCTTTCACTTTGAACATGATTTGTGATAATACTGTTAGTAATTGCAATCCGTTTACAACTATATTCTTGAATATTGACCTCAAATTATTCCGTATTATATCATATGATAATTCTTTCATTTACTGTACAATTAATTAATTATAATATTATCATAATTTTGTTCGCTTCTCAAACATAGTATTTACAAATATTTTAACCATTTATTGGAGCAAAACTATGATATAAACTAAGAATTGTTGCTCTTTTGGTCAGACGATTGCGGCGGTGAAGCACATGAAGAATCTCTGTCTTCTCTGTCCTCGTTGTAGTACATCTCGTCGTCGTCTTCTTCTCCATCGGCAACAGTGCTGTGATTATACAATCCCTGAGCCATCAGATGTAAAGCCAATGGATTCCTATTGCCGGTAGTCTTCTTGATCTTTGCCCTCTTATTTTGAAACCAAATCTTAATTTGTGATTCATTTAGCTTTAATTCTTTCGCTAAATCTTGTCTTCGCTTTTCAGTCAAATATCTAAAAGTAAAGTAAGGTTTTTGTTTAGCGTTTGACTTTCAAATGTATTAAACAATTAAATGAATAAAAGTGTTAAGAAAAATCAATGCCATACTTATTGTCCACAAATTCCTGCTTTAATCGACTCAACTGTTCGGCTGTGAACGCAGTCCGCGGTCTCTTCTCATCCACTTTCTTGTCTTTACTCTTTTTGATTTTTCGCGATCGCGGGCCTAAACATCACAATCAAGATATACAATATATTAGAACTATTTTTAACGCAATTCTCTATTCAAACAATATCTCCATTCATTGAAATTATCATTTTATTATTTCTATTCATAGCTTAAGATTCTATTTAAGGGTTAATCGTAAGGAACAGTCATTTCATTCAAGGATAGCATCGTTTAAATAGCAGCTCATGTGTCGAGCTCTCTCTCTCTCTCAGTACCGTTGGATTATAATAAGACAATACTATAAATACCAAATAAAGTGATTGCAGTTAATCCAACGCGACAAACTCATTAAGAGCTCATTATCTTTTTGGACAAACAGTTTGTTTTTCACTCCCAAAACAGACTCATCGCTAACTAAGTGATCACATTTCACATATTCCTAACTCTCAAAGTCTCTCTCTCTCTCTCTCTCTCTCAATATTGCAATTATTTTCACTCTTTTAAAGTGAAGCGGATTTTTGACTTAAATTCGAGCTTTTGTTTAATGAAATTGTGTTTGGATTAACTGCAATCACTTTATTTGGTATTTATAGTATTGTCTTATTATAATCCAACGGTACTGCGAGAGCACCTGTATGTCAATGAGGAGTGACGATGATAAATGAGCGTTTGAGCCGCAGTGACAGGTGAGACCACCTAACATGACTGTCCACGACTGCCACACAGTGTTCAGCCATAGCAGCGATCGTCACTTTTGGACGCCGGCTTCAAACTAACAGCTCATACATTGTGTTTGATATTACTGTTGAGGCGTAACTCAACGCTTAATACCTGAATGTGTTTTACATACTGTACTCAACCAATTGATTGATTTGTGTGTAAACTTCTGTCCCACACAATACATACAACTATTGAATGTATAGATTGTTTAATACATACGACAAACACCGACTGACTTTTACCAACTCTTACTACTGTATCATTGAAACGGCTAACAGTTTGCTTTAATTGGGGGATAATTCAATCCAATCCAATATTGACACACACTCTCGCTATAACTTTAAATGCATTTTCAATTTCATTATAAATATTTATTATCCAATGCATTAAATTATGGCTTAAGTCATTCAAAACTATATTATTTAATATAATTTATATGAGAAATAGTGTAATGAACTGATCAATGCTCTATCATTTGAGTGCATATTATATTCGATGGCATCAAAAGCTGTATTAACTTATTTGCATTATCTATTGAAACGGGAAATAACGCTATCTTTACAATAAAACGTGGGAATAGAGGACACAAACGACAACTTTTGATCATTTATTGTGACCAACAATAGGATGACTCCTCTCTAACACACGCTTCTCTCTATCCACTAAATTGTATGATATATTTGTGATACACTTCTGTTGCTTCAGTTGTGAGAAAAATATTACTATTCATCTCAAAAGCCGTTTTAAAACATATTTTTCAGTGCATTTAAAAATATAATTATTTTTAGTTAAAAACTGAGAATTGGGTTTTTTGTTATGCAAACATTAGACTATAATTTAGACAAATTAATAAATTAATTAATTACACAGAGCTCTTATTTGTGAAATAATTTCAATCACCAAAAGTGCTTAACATTAAATAAAATAAAAATAATTGCTATTTGTTGAGGAAATCTCTGTTTATAATCTCAAGAAAAATAAGCGATTTTTTAAACTGAAAACATTCCTAATGTTTAAATATTTTTTATATTATTTAAAAAATTTCTTTTTCGAGTTAAACATATGAATAATAAGTCGGCGTTTCTTTTGATACGATCACCGAAAACATCGATGAAATGATTGTTTGTATAATACATCAGAAAATCATTCATTTAAGAAATATTGTTTGACTTTAAATAAGAGGTAATTTTTGAAAGAATTTCTTAATAATTGGTTTATTTTGAGTGATTATTCTTGAATATGATTCAGTGGTTAAGACACACACGAAAAGACAAACATTATATGCGTTTGAAAGTGTATTTAACTAGTAATCCATCTCTTGTTCAATGGATATATTCAATGCTTAATTGACGTAAAGATAGAGAAAACAGTTGGTCTTTATCTATAAAAGAGTTGACACAAAGTGACAGTTGGATCAGTCATTGCTTATTCAATTAGGATTAGTCAGCGCTCTATAGACTAGAGATGATTGTTACAAATCAAACGGTCTTTTTCTCATTGGGAACCCATTCTTAAAGACGTCTTTGATTTTCTTATCTTTATTGCTATCTGTTATTGAGTTGTAGTGATGTTTAGATGTAGTGATCACTTAAGTTGCACTCAAAATAAAACTTTTCCGATAATATCTGCTAACTCTATGACTATAACTGCAATCAACTCAAGTGAACATCATTTCAATCATTCAGTGTTGAGAAGTAATATAAACTCAACAAAACAGTCTATTTTGGAGTTCTATTCAATAAGAAGTAAAGGATTTTTACAATAATTTTGTTCAAACCTATTGTCATTTCTGTATTTTTCTTGTCGTTGAGATTTTTGCAAACTATATATTGAATACAAGAATAAGTTAATAGAGATTAGTGTTGCGCTCTGTCTATAATAGCATTTACAATAACGATATACTTTTGAGATAATTTGCAACAAATATAAACAACAAGTACTGAACTGTTAGGGAATACCGTATAACCAGAATATACATTGTATACAGTATTATACATTATTATATTCTGTATACTATACAGTACAGTGTACTGTGTATTGCAAATGCATTGAAAACAAGGTATGGCATGAAGAGTGAGTTTAATTAATAATGATTTTAATGATGCATTCGTTCATTAAAGCCATCATTTATTGTTCGCTCAATTAATTCAGAGAAGAAGTTAACAGTAAGTCTGAGTCGAAAGCAAAACATAAATTAATTAATAGCTTTATCTAAAGGCCTGTTTGACTGTGTGTTGTGAACACATCTTGTTTTCACTGATAACGAAGCCGTTCCCGAAACAACTGATACATTGTAGGCGTTGTGGGCTCTGCTGTAGTATTGAGAGCACTGTTGGGCTATGCGTTAGCGCCCGACTCTTAGGGACATAAAACGCTTATCTCTCCACACATTTACTAATATAACATTTTTCGGATAAACGTATTGCCCGTTCAGTATTGCACACCAATCCTCACCCATGGATCACATATTTCAAGCCTAACACTATTTAGGAGTCAATTACACGGCTATCTAAATGTGGTCGCAGTTAATGCACTAAATCTCCATCCATTCAATCAACTAAAGACACATCACATTAACGCATGTTTGCGCCCAAACACACACTAAAAACTTTATCACTCGATCCCAGTCCTCCCTATAACTCATGTCATTTTTGCATTTAATTAGTCCCTCTCTATCTGGTCTTTGCCGTCGAGAATCTCATCAAACAATTTAAATATTGTGTGTTTAGTCACAACATCTCTATAAGACAATTATGTCTTAACGAAAGACAATTTTTCGATACAAATAATCCTTTTTGTATAAAGAATATATTGATATCGTATTATTCGTTCAAACCTATAGCGAAATAATACAAAAAAGTGCGAGAATTGTGATCTCTTTTGAAACATTAAAAATGATGTTTAATCGACTCAAAGGAGTGGAAGAGTGGAAGAGGGGAAGCGTTTATATAATTAAAATAGAGGTAATAGTTGTGAAGAGGAATGGATGGCGTAATGCAATGGTGAGTATACATCATATACATCATCGTAATCCGACACCGAGTAGAGTGTCTGCAAAGAGAGAGATAATGTTTGTGTCGAAAGCAATGTGTTGTGTCGACACTCTTTTCGGACCATTAGCTCCTCAATAGCCGACTCATAACATTAGTTCGTGTGCTATACTTATATTGTATGAAACACTACTGGTATTATTCCCAACCCCTGTGTATCACTACAACAACTGCTTATTTTTCACTTCACACTAAATGAACACTTTTTTGTTCGCCAAACGATTGGTAATAGTGTTACGGAATCAAAACTAATGAACACTTTTGAACTCAATTCCTATATTCTTTCAGCACTGATGAGCTCATTGTGTACTTCACTAGAGGAGAGAGAGAGAGAGAGAGAGAGACTGTTTTTTTCCGTTTCCTCAGCCAACCAATCAATTACATTTCAAAAAAACTCCAGAGTCTGCAGACCCTAAATGAACCGGGAGTTAGGTTTTGTATAAATCCTGTGTAAAATTTGTAAAATCCATTAATGCAGTACATTATGATATACACAGCACTTTATGAGCAATAAACATTACTTTATTAACGAGAAATGATATGTTGTTTCAAATTTGAATACTATGTTTGAGTGTCTGTGTGTGGGCTTTAATGTTATATTATTATTATATTTTTTGGTTTTTAATAAATGGTAGAATAAATTATATGGGAATATATTTAACACGAGAGAGAAAAATATATATCACATAAATTAAAATTGTTCATAAAAAGGATAATTTCTTAATTAAAATATTTTAACGTAAAAATATCCACAATAATTGATTTGTATAAAATTGAATAAAGAAATATATTTTTTGTTATAAAAAATATTCCAATGAAAGTTATTTACAAAACAATGAATAGGCTTTTGTCGAGAAATAGTTTGTAGAAAATAATCGAAAAGCGATTTTATTTATATCCCGAATACATAATAAGTATTGTCTGAATAAGTCCTCTGCATATGACTTAATATTTATCACCAAAACGTAAATCATATTTCAAGTCATAAATCCTAAAATGAAATATTCGTTTAAATACAGTATATAATATCTTATTATAATAGAAAAAAACACACAAATAATGATTTTTGGATTTTAAGTTAAAAATGTTTTATATTTCTATTTTCATACACTTTTTTCAATGTTTTATAACAAAACATGAGTTGATTTGTATTAAAGACATAGAGAAGAGACCTGTTTTCATAGAGGAGAGTACAGCAAACCTGTATGTAGTCTCTGTAGTCGTGAGCCTTAAAACTAAATTCAACTCTATTTGCCATTTATTATACAACATATTTGAGTCTATTTTTCTATTAACTTCTTTTGAGAATCAATAAAGAGTACAGCAAACCTGTATGTAGTCTCTGTAGTCGTGAGCCTTAAAACTAAATTCAACTCTATTTGCCATTTATTATACAACATATTTGAGTCTATTTTTCTATTAACTTCTTTTGAGAATCAATATAAGTATAAAATCGCAAAATAAATAATAATCTCTTTATAACAAACACCGGATTATATTATACTCTATTATAAAGACTCTTATTGTATTAATATATTGATTATATAATAACAATAAAAGGTTTTCAAGAAAATAGTTG